GTTTATTGCTGTAGTTGTTTTGTGACAGATGGAAATAATGTGTTTTACTAGTAAGTCATAGCAAGCATTTGAGTAAGCAGTAGTGTAACAGTTAATGGGTTCATATTTAGTAATTTTTCCATTCTCATATTTTAATGATATATCATATGGTTATGGTTTAAGTTGTTATTGTTAGTTGCAGCAGTTACGAGTGTTGTAGTTACTAGAGGGCTCCAGCAGGGGGAATGTGAAACTGTTGAGCTATGTGATGGTGCACCTCACTCCCTCCCTTCAGTCATTACACACATGATCTGAGGAAGGTTTGTATGCATTTTTCATTGAACTACTCCCCTTTTCAGGGCTTTTACAGTTGCACATATATGATGTGTTGTATTTGTCCTCACTCACACTGAAAAACAAGTACATTTTTTATATGCAGTTTATTATCTCACTCTGGATGTAGTATGATACATTTTCAGCACTACCTAAATAGGACATGGCATTGATTGCAATAGTGTAATCCTTCGATTCTTCATCATTATTAATTGATTTGAAGGCAAAACCTTAAATTTAATTTATTAGAGGTGTTCCAATCAGAATTTTTTGGGCCAATGAAAGCAGTATCGACCGATACCGATCACTGGGTCTATTTGGAGCCTTTTATTTATCATGTAGCATTATACAGTATACTGTATATTTATTTAATTGGTCCTAAAAACAATGTATTAAGTGTTAAAGTTAACAGATGATAAAGTATCATGAAATGACAACTGTTTATTTTTTTGCCAGGAAACATGGGCAACAAATTCCACTCAATCTCAGACTTAAATGATAGCAGCCTTTGCCTGGTTACTGTGAACATCTTATAGCTTTACAAATATAGCTTTCCTGTGGAAAAAACTACAAAAACAGAACAAACAGTATCTTTATAAATTTACTACAACCATAAAAACTGCAACAAAAAAGGCTGTAGCAAAAATATTTAGGAGATAAAGGAACACAGGCATCATGAGGTCGATGATAAACTCTGAAGTAGCTGCTTTTTGTTCTGGAAAGCTCAGGCATATTTTTAAAATTTTAAAATTTTAAAAATAAAAATAGGCTACAATGTAAATTCCATATTATACAGTCAATTGTTAATATTACATAGGCTACTATATTCATTATAATTTCATATGGTTTGCCATTAGTAGGCTATAGGCCTTATATCATATCAGTGGATTGTTTTCATTTTTAATCCTTGTGCAGGAAGCATAGTCTACATATCTTACATGCTGCCACCGACTTTACCAGAGGAGAGAATAGCAAACACTTTCAATACGTCCAGAAGGTTTTTTATTTGATTTCATAAAGGTTAAATATACGGGAGATTTACGGGGAAACATTTAACGGGTGAGAACGGAAAAATACGGGAGAATCTCGGGAGGGTTGACAGAGGAGTAGAGAGAGGAGTGGGGTAATGTGAGGCTACATCCACACTGCTACGTTTTTAAAACAGTTTCATAACGAAAACGATCTTCTCCGTCCACAGCAGCGTTTCAGCTGCGTATCAGAGTTGATCTCTGTCTATATTAGAAGGACTGAAAACACAAATCTAGTGGCCTTTCAGGTAGCCTACACTGCGCATGCGCGTGCCAGTGTAAACATGAAGTAGATGGTCTACTCCACAGTAGCAGACGATTTAGCGAAAGAAGAAAGTAATAAAGACCAAGAACCAAACCAGGCTTTTTTCTTCTTTTTTTTTTTTTTTGCATAGACCGACAACGAAGTGGAACTGTTACTGAAAGTAACACGGGAGTACGAGAGACGGCGGCGGAAAACAGACTGGGAGTTGTCGCAAAGTAAATACAGCGACGTGCACAGTTGGCTAACTGTTATGTGTTATTTACACAGTACTTATATTTTAATAAAAATACCAAAACTAAAACTCTGTAAAGCATCGTGTTTTTGCTTTGCATGACTGATAAGACCGACTCACAAAGCCAAATGTGAGTGTGTGTCACCCTTTTATGTCTGTGAAGATTCTCAGTCATCCAGGTCAGTTATCCAACGAAGGTTAAAGTCAAGTCCGGTTAAAGTCAAGGGCAACTGGACTTGACTTTCACCTTCGTTGTCATTCTTTTATAAAGTCCTCTGTTTTGTCCATCGGGTCCGCAGCGTTTTCAAACAAACATCTTCTGATTCACGGTTTAAACCTGGACGGGAGGCGGAAACGTAGCAAAAGGTCTCCGTTTTTGTAAGGAAAACAGAGAGAGAGAGATGCAGTCAGCTGATTGAGTGGCGCCGCTCTTTGCATCAGGAAACTGACACTGAAAGATCAGTCTCTCAGATCAGTGGCATGTGAGTGAGATGAGCACAGCTGCGACAGTTTCACATGAACGCTCCTGCGTGTTGCTCCACTTGTCTGATTGCTGCTCAACTCTATTATTATGTGGGCGTGGTAATGTTAATAATCCCTTATTGTCTGAGAAGGTCTTTGGTGCTAGCTAGCTTTGAAAACACACAGTGTACTGAAACATTCTAGCTGCGGTTGAAAATTTGTCTGGCAAGTATTGCATCATCTGATCGGCTTATTCTTATCGGCCTTTTTAGCGACCACCAATCAAACTAGTTAAGGCCATTATCGGCCGATTATGATCAGTAACCGATCGATCGGAGCACCCTTAAAATATATATATATATATATATATATATATATATATATATATATATATATATATATTCAATTTTCATCTATACTGAAAATTACAAATCAGATAATATAGGTCAGAGTCTCTCACAAATCAGCAGAGGCTGTGTTGTTTGAATTTGTTTTTTCCATTGCAAAAGGACAATAGGACACAAATGATTGAATTTTATAACAAGACAGCGGGATAAAAATGTTAGCTTGGCTATTTTCTTCCTAACAAATTTTTTTTTTCTCAGCCGCAAAAGACATGTATGTGTTTGATAGACAAGAACAACTCAAATTAATGCCAATACCCACTATGCTTTGTTATTCCTCTCTGACTCCCATTACAGTACTTCTCAATTTAGTAGCCTGCAGCTTCAAAAAACACCTTAACTTCTAATTAAAATGCTGTCATGATTACGAACGGTAATTTTTTTATTTATTTCTAGTGAAAGATTAATAACATTGACTGAGCGGCACAAAGAGGATAATTTGGCCTATCTGTCAGCTGAATTGATTTGATTAATGTATTTTGGTCGTTGGTTGTCATTGAAACATGACCGTGCTGTATTCACTTCTTCAGAAATTTGAGTGGGTACCACAAAGGAGGTAATTGTACATTTTAAAAGCAGTTTGTGATGCTATATGCTTGTGTCCAGACAAGCAGACATGCCCTCTCCTAAAATCCATGGAATCACTGTTTTTGTCAGAGGCCTTGATGCATCTGTCCTTTGTATTATTTATGTACTAATGGGGGGGGTTGTGTGCATATTGTACAAGTGAAATATTTCACGTGGTGTCCAAATTGTGACTTAATAATCTGTACTTTCTCCTCAAACAGAGGTTAAAAGGCACGCGTTTTGTCAGCCATGTCCCATTGGTCAGTGCCACTGTCAGGTCAGGTTATGACACAAATGTCACCTGTGATGGTGACAGAACACTTGAACCGAGTGGCACTGGAAATCATTAGCTTGGACGTGAGGGTTCAGCTCCATCAACCATGCAACATAATTCATCTGATTAATGTGTCATGGCAACTTATGAATATTCATACTTTCCACCTGACTGACCGTGAAGAGTCAGAAAGAGTCACTGGATAAAACTACTAGAGCAAAAGTTCTCATCAGAATGCATACTATTAATTCAGTTTGCTCACCATTAAGTGGGTTTACATTGAAAATAAAAATAAGTATATGACATGAGACGTGTGCATGAGAAAAGGGCAGAGAAAAAAAGGGGGAGTTTAAAAGGGTAAACCCAGTTTTGGACAATAATGTGGGTGGGAAAAAAGCAAGACTGACTTTCAAATGAATTAAGTTAAGTAGGCAGAGAAAGAAAGTAAGAATAATAGCAAGATAATGACAGATTGAAAACCACAACTTGATGAAAGCAGAAAAGCACTATAAACAAGACAGAACCCAGGAGAAATGAATGCCGAGAGAGGACCAGCAGTAACAACAGAGGTCATTGCAAAAGGGAGAAATCAAAATATCTGATTAGGTAAAAATAGAGAGCACGGATTCAGGCATCTGTGGTGAAGGATTATTATCAACCCAGAGCTGCTTAAGTTTTGACCCGACAGTGACCTCACAGTTTTATTGTCAGATAAAATGAATCCAACATTTCCCAAGAGACTCACTGTCTGCCTCAGCATTGACCATTGTCCTGCTCTGGGGACCAGCAGGCAGCTCCCTGTCTCAAGAATATTGACCCGAATCTTCACACATGCATCCCACCACAGAAGCGGGCCAAGGGTCAGGTGCACTATTATTGTGAAGAATATACTTTAAATGTTTATTGATTTTCAATGTGAATAATAACACAAGCAATCTTCCTAGGTTATTAATTCTGTCTCAACATTTGCCATATAAAAATAACACTCTCTGTATCTTTTGGCCTAAAAATATGTAGTCAAGTTATTAAATAAACCACTGTTAGGACAGAATTAAGTTTGGTTTGATCATTGTTAATGTATTCTGGGTTAATGCCCTACAAACAGCAACATAAAAATAACATTCTCAAAGTTAAATTGAGCACTGAAGGTCATATTTCAAACCTAGCCTCTATCAGTTGTCCCCATTTTACTATCTCACTTTGTCTTGTATCTAACTGCTCTGTAGCCCCCCGAATGTCTCATATGATATTTCAATTACTTAAGAAGCAGGCGCCTCAGAGATTTTGTTTCTTCTCCAAATTTCAACTCAGAAAGCTGCTTTTCAAAAAGTGCAAATTCATTGCTTTTGTCGAGCTTCCTCACTATGCAATTCCAGTACAATAAAAATTACCACTATACTTCACAGAATAAAGGGAAAGACCTGTTAAAATAAACTCCTGTTGTCTTCATCTTCAGGAGGTGAGTGATGCAGACATAATGGAGCTGGTTCATAGCTCTCTGGGGCGAATGACCATCATCCGTCAGATCTTCCCTATGTGGAGAGAGACCAACGTTCGCTGTATGAGGAACAACCATCGCATCTCCTCTCTGCTTTGTGACCCGCAGGAAGGCTATCTGCAGTCCCTGGAGGTAAAAACCGCTTAAAGATTTTCTGTTGAAATATTGACACTTAGATCCTATATCCACCATGGCTGCACACAATCCTCTTACTTTATTGTGTGTTATTTTATTAACATAAAATCTTAAGAATTATTTTTAAATTGACTTGATAAGGTTTTCATAAAAATATACATGGTCAGAGGCAATTAATGGAAACATGTGCCTTATATTTTTCATTCAACTAACTGCACGTCATGCACCTTCAAGTGGCCAACCCTCATAGACTTACCGAAAATACCTTTGTTGTGGTGAATGTACTCACACGAAAAGTCTTTTGTCCCAGGCTCTACAATTAGAATTAGGAAAAAATGGTTCACCTCCCAAAACACAATACTATCATAATCATCAAACCAGAAGAACACTTTACTAAAAAGTGTAACCCAGCTTTTGAGTTTCAAATGGTCACCCAGTGAAGGCTTGAAAGGTGGCTGTAAAAGATTGGCTGCTTCCTCATTCACACACAACAGTTTGAATTGAGTAGGTGACAATGGAGTCCAATGGTGACAATTTTTTAAATCACTATCAAAACATCTGAAAGAAAAATTCTCAAACCACTCACAGTTACAGATTCACCAACATTAGCTACGTACAGAGGAGAATCTGAGCTTTGAGTATGGTGACCGCTCAACATGGAAGCAGTGTGATGGATGAGCCTATGTTGAGTATTTGACTAGTGGCAAGGTTGTGTTTTGTCGTTCTCATTTTTTATCGCTTTTGCTGCGAGTATTTATAGGATAGCGACTTTGTGCTTTAGGAACAAACCAGCATGTTTCATCCACTTTCTCCAGCAGCTAACAGGAGGAATACTTGTTATCAGCTGGCATGACAGAACCATAAAACAAGCACGGTGTGGTCTTTTTTCATTCTGGGTACAGCACATGTGCTGTGCAGGGTTAGGAACGTGATTCCTGCTTGATCACACACATTTTGCACAGTTTCAGTCAAGACGGTACAGCAGCCGGGGTGCAGGACAGTATAGAAGTATCTGCCAAGCGCCACATGAAGGCAAATATTAGCTGATAATGTGAGCAGCTGAATATAGATTAAGCTCCCTAGATAAGGTAATTATGAAAGACATGAATGTCCATGAATATAAATGACTTGAGCTCAACATGAGGAATAACTGACAGAACAGAGTAAAAATATTGTTTCAAAGTAAATAAAAGCTTGTTTTTCATTAATGTGCAAATCTGCTATGAATATACCCAACTTGTAGAAAACCTAGAACAATGTATTAGTTGTTATTAAACTACTGAGATATCACAAGCTTAACAAAGGCTTCACTGTGGAAGTACTGTATGCTCTAAAACAGCTTATGCTATCTATTATTTGTATTAAGGATTTGTCAACCAGGATCTCAACATTAATAAATTGAGTACGACAATGAGGGTCAATAAAATAAGATATACCCTTCAGCAACATTGCAGTTTTGTTATCAAACAGTGTCATTCCCTTCTTTTGGCCTGCTTTCACCCTACCACTCCATACTTTCTATAACCAGTTAAGAGCACCTCCTTACACCTCTTACACTTTTCTTTTGCTCAATCCATCTGGAGTGCAATGGCTGCGTTCCCTGTAGCTCTATTGAAATGTTCATTTTGTTTTCATCCATACTCCGGACAGATGGCAAAACCATGTGGTGTGTGCACCCAGTTCTTAATAATTCACATGAAAGAGGGTTAAATATCGGGTAATGGCAGTTTAAGCATTCATCAAAACAGTTAAACACAGGGGGAGATCATACAGCTTTCCTGTACAAACCCCTTTCACTGCCCGTCAGCTGTGGTGGAACCTCAGATACCCAGAGCTGCTAAGCTTCTGACTGAGTGACCTTAAGGCAAGTGAACTTGACTTGGATGATGTCTTACCACTGAGAGACTTGAACTGAAGTCTTAAGGTGTCATGAGCTGAATGCCTGGAGTGGCAGCTAGTATTGCTTCCATGGATCTTCTGCTGTGGGAGGATTTGACTTGACTTGACCCAGAGGACCTATCAAATCCACTGTCACATCAAGACAGGAGACAGTAGACATGATTCCTGTCAGGGTGCACTGCATTTGGAGTGAGACAGTTGGACTGATGGCAACTCTGAAATTCATTAAACAAAGAAGGATTGAACTGGAAATCGTTTTTGTTTTGCCACTCTATTGATTTTAGATCACACCACTGTACTCTATCATTACCTTTACCCTTTGCCAGTGTTGTGTCATGCATATCATTTCACCTGCTGCAACTGGTGCAATCCCATGCTTCAGAGTTTCCTGCAACTGCAAACGTGGACAATCAAAGCGAGATTGCTTTTAAGACAAGTGCTTTTGTGTCACTGCTTCATTCACAAGAGCTCACAATGGGGCTGTGTGAAATTTCTTGGAGCCCTTTGTTGTCAGCTTGAGTTCTGCTCTGTGTCGCACAGAACAAACAACAACAAATGCATTTATTTGTATTAAAAGTTCCCCTCCCCCCAACAGGTGTCCAACCTCTACCTGTATGACAGTGTCTTGATGCTGGCCAACGCCTTCTACAGGAAACTGGAGGACCGGAAGTGGCACAGTATGGCTAGCCTTAACTGCATGAGGAAGTCCACCAAGCCTTGGAATGGAGGATGGTCCATGCTAGACACCATCCAAAAGGTATTTGAATTCAAAGTTACAGTTTATTCTTGCTTTAAAAAGCTACTGCTTTGAATATGCTATTTTGTAAGACATGATGATTAATAGCTTCTGCAATATTTTATCATGGATGATTATGTGAATAGTTACATACAACCAATGCACATCCAAGGTATTATGAGAAGCATTATTAAGTATGAAGGTGGCTTATACAGTCAGCCCTCCTTAGAAAAGTCCATATAACTACCAGCCTATAATCCCTGCCTGAAACCTTCATAAGATTCAAATTCAGTTATTTTCAAAATACCCTCAAGAAAGCTGATTATTAAATGTGATCTCCTGGTTTGTATGGATTTGTAGCAGATTCTGGGCTTTGCTCTCTGTATGCTTGTGTAAACCTCTCAGTTCAGCATATCCTAGAAAGTAGCTTGATTTTATCCATTTTAATCTGATAATGGATTGTTTTATTGTTGTAAAGTCAGTCTTGATCTCAAGTGTGACATGAGATGAGAACAACCAAGAAGGGGTGCTTTCGTCATATTAATTTTGATATATATTATATTGATTTGATTCATGTTACAGTTACACAGGCTTCTGTGTGATTAAAGGAAGAATTTGCATAAAGCATATGATTGATGGTGAACAACAGTGATGATTATGTATTGTAAAAGGTTCCAATCCTATGTCCTATAAAATGCTACCAAAGCTCCAGCTCAGCTTTATTAATTCATATTTCTTCCCATATATACAGTAGTATGCTTTATACAGATAAAAGTGAATGAAAACAATGCAAACATTCAATTTCACTAAATTGTTAATGTGCAAAGGAGGTGTATATAATAATTACATCACCATCAATACTGCTGTGTTGTGACATCTCACACAGTTACTATTTTCTGCTTGTTGTTGCTACAGGGACGGATCAGTGGCCTGACAGGGCTGATGGACTTCCGCGCTGAAGGCTCTAATTCCCATGTGCAATTTGAGATTCTTGGAACCAGCTACAGTGAGACATTTGGGAAAGATGTGAAACGGGTCAGTCCAGATTATTTTAAATATATATATTTTTTGTCTACTTATCTGTAAAGGACACATCATGGGAGACTTACTAAGTGTCTATATCTTGATGTTTTACCCAAAATCCTATGGTGTGGCGAGTAGATTTTATTTTACGATAATATATGATTTAAGAAGAAGAGAATAAGAGATAAGATTTTTTTTTTCTCCGATATTCAATAATAGTGGACTATTTTTCTCCTTTCATTGGGCCTTTGTAAAATACCCATGTAGCTCTGCCATTTGTTAGCGTAATGTGTTCCACAGCAGGGTGCCTCACCTTTCCCATTTCACAGAATTAAGCGGTACCATGTCCCAGTTATATACTTTATACATCAGACCATAGACCAATCAATTAGAGCTTCTGTATAGAACTTAATTTTCAAATCTTTTACTTTGTAGCTGCAATTTTGCACACACTTCTCCATTCTCTAAGTGTTAAAGAGGTCATATTATGCTTTTTTGCTTTTCCCTCTCCTTTATTGAGTTATGTATCTTTTTTTTGCATGTAATAGGTTTGCAAAGTGAAAAAGCCCAAAGTCCAGCCCAAAGGGAGTTCCCATCTCCCACAGAAAACTGTGCTCTGAACCGCTTGAAACCAGCTCGTTTGTAGTCCAGCCGTTTCCCTTTGATACCTGTGACGACACAGCAAAATATGCGTCATAACGCTTGCCAAGCGGCTAGTCTAACACGCCTTCACAAACACCGGTGAAAACACACTGAGCTCCAGCACACACCTCTCTTCTCCCTTCCAAATACTAGCTACCCTCCAGGCAGTCAATGGACATAAAGTTGTAACTGTGATGTAGAGACAGAGCTCAGTTAAAACATTATGGATGAAAGATACTTTTGTTACAGATTAATAACTCACCACTGTGAAGTCTATGTTGCTAAGCTGGTAAGGGGATATACAACTGAACCGAAGTCGTGTTTACCGGCTTCTCACGACCCCCCCTACTCTGCTTCTGATAGGCTTGTAGTCCTTAACTAGGAACTGCGCATGTGCAACTCCCAACAAAGATCTTGTAGAGGCAAGATGCATCACTCCTTAGCTCACCCTGTTCTGGTACGACCCCTAAATAAGACTGTGAACCTGAAAATGAGAATAATATGACCTCTTTAAGGAAACAGAAGTTACTTTGTAACCGCTGATGAAAATAGCTTTTCTAGACCACGTACTATCTGAAGAGAGAAATAAAAGTGAAAATACTACCCTGTGAAAAAACATATTTCATTTTCTCAAGGCCCCCCTGCAAACCTCTTAAGTTCAGGCACTTAATTCCAGTCCTTGAGAACTGGTGTCCTGCAGGTTTTAGTTTCTCTCTGTTAATTATCCAGTACATACCAGGTGTGGCTGATTTACTAACAGACGATCTGCAGGATCAGAACTGTGAACCACATCAATCATGGGGGTCCACTGGCGCTATTAATGTATAGAAAGGCTTGCAATTGTCTACTGTTTTTGCATTTGCTATTTTTTCTCAATCTTAATCCTCAGGATTGTTTTTTTCTGGCATGTCAGGTGTATGCAATTACCTTACTGGTACGATTAAAAATCAGATGTACTCTGATCCCTGAGAACCACAATCACGTGGCTTGACATTTGACAGTAAGGTGTCAGGAATGAGGGTGTCCTCTACTGGAGCTCCTGATTAACCATATTAGTTTGCTTCCATTTCACCATACTGACCATTGTGGCTTGAACGTTGTCATGACCTGGGACCTTGGAGTTAAAATAAATAAAATGTGTGCTTCTTGTTATTAACTATACACAAGGTGAGTTTGTTTCTGCAAAAACAAAAACATACCACTTCCACTTTGCCTTTGACTAATGTCAGAGTATTTTTGTATAGTCATTTTACATGTGGTAAAAATAACAAGCAGGCTATATGATCTGACCATGAAGTCTTTACTGAGTGTTGGCAGAGCTGAAGTGAGAGACTGAGAGCATTATTTGTGCAACTCTTGTCTTAGCTGTAATTTGTTTGTCGCTGTGGATGTCCCTATTCAGTCAGGGACTTCTTGCAGAATGAAGAGGAATTGAGTTTCTTGGCAATCTATGTAGAGCAGGACTGACCAGAAGCGGTAATGAAGATTTAATCACCACTCAGCGTAACTGAAATCATGAAGCCAATTCATCATAATGTGGCCATTAGCATTAGCTAGGAAGAGACACATCACACACAATGCCATGGATTTACACTCACAAACACACACTGGAACATGCTTACAGTTTCATGTCCACCAGCAGAGTCACACATTTAGACACAGCGTGACACACACACACACACACACACACACACTGACATGTATTGTATACACTGTTTTGGTGCATGCAGCCAGGCAAACAGAACAGGGGCCAGGGAGCACACTAACATGTGGGCGCTTGTATCTCAAAATCATTAGAGGCAGAGGGGGACAGCAAGGCCAGATAATGGGATGCCAAATGGATTCAGTGCTATTGTTCATTACCTGGCATGTCTATCTTTGTGTCTGCCCACTACTTGGCAGAACCATTTACTGTGAGAAAACAGACACAAACCCGTGTACTCTCCTCTCTATTTTTATATAATAGGATGTTTATATATACATTCAGCATGTTTCTTGCCCTGTGTTGTTTAAAACGGGTGCCTACCATCAAGAAAAGCCACACCAGCGCAACACTGATTGCGTGTCGCACTCCATCCCCCTGACCCACATCCTAGCCTCAGAGCCATCCTCATTTTGTCCCTTTCTCATCTCTCTTTTATCTTTTCCTCTCATCTCATCTCCCATCCTCCCTATCCTCTCCTCTGCGCTCACTCCTTCTCGTCTTCCATAACCTTTTCTCCCCATTTTTCAGACATGGTTTCCTCCCTTTCCATCATCATTTATCTGCATTCAGTCCATTTTCTCCACAGCCTGATGGCTCTTAGATGAGGCGTCTTTCTGGTTAGAAACTGTAATGAAGACTGAAATACTATTTCCTGGATGCTCTACTGTGAGTTTTCTCCACCATCCAGTGCTGCTGCAGAGTGATCGATGCTGTTGTTGTTGTTGTTTTGGTTTCCCAGTTTACTCTTATTGATGTGTCAGCTCGTCTCTAAGCAGATATTGCTAATGACTTCCAGCTTACAAGAAGCTCTTCATGGAAAAAAGTCAATTCATTTGAATGTAATTGTTCCTCTTAGCCAAGCATCTTGGATGCATCATGCAATAGTTATCTCTCAAATGTGTCCACAGTAACAGCGCTGATATTATTGTTTTATTTAAATTCACATTTTTGTATAATTTGTATATTCTATAGAAAAAATATAATTACCCTAATACTGTATGTCTGCTTGATCTTGTGAGTAGTTTCTGAAAGGGGCAGCTCCAAATTCTCCTTATTCAATTTTCTGGTTGCAAAGTGCGTCACAATATGTTTTTCATAAGTAGTAGTATATTTTACAGTATATTGTACAGCTCATATGCCATATGATGGCGTTTCTAAATCGCCTAACATGTGCTAGAAATAATATATGGCATGGCTGCCTGAGACATGTGGCTATGCTATTTGTCTTAGACATAGAGGGAATGAAAAACAGCCTCAGGTTTAAAATAGTTTTTTACTGTTACAATGCCATCGTCAGTACAATATTTTAAATTGAAAAAGGAGTCTGGATTTTTTGTTGCTTATTGCCTGCATCTTTCCATTTTCTCCCAGGAAGCCAGAATGCAGAGCTCAACACAGTGCAACTTACTGTAAGAAAACACAAGCAACTTAAGAAAACATCTTCACCGATTTGATACATTTGTAGCATATAAGAAAAAATGTGGCATATGGAAACATTTTGCAGTGGGTTGAGCTCTCAGGGCCACTGTAAAAAATGCTGTGTCATCAGCAGAATAAATCTGTCATATCCGGAAGCTAGATCATTGCCAGATTTAAAGAACACCACACCAGAATCTGGGCAAGTATATGATTCCAAGTCTGGTTGCCAACATTGGCCCAAAGTCCTGAGTCCATACCCCCAAAACCTAGCCAAATCTGACAGCCATGTATTGACTAGAGCTAGCTCACATTTGGTCCTCTGGTGCCAGAACAGAGCCAAGTGTGCTCACACTTAGTTGCAATCAGACATGAGGGTCGGATGGTGATGGACAGGACAGGGTTTTCTTATTGGCCATCATCACACCTTCAACCAATTATAGTTGATGTATTCAGCACTGGGGGTGGAGGTCGCTTGTGCTCCATTACATGTTGTGTCTATCAAACTGCAGTTGTTCATTGCTAATGAATTCATCTTATTGCTCAACCCTGTTTCTCACTGGCTCATGAAGAAGAAGTGGCATTAGATTAGTCTCTAAAGGGTGCTTATTTCTCACCAACAATAGATCTGCAGGGGGTTGATAGCGCTGCTGATCCAATGATTAATTAGCACTGAGACTTCTAGCTTTTAGTAACTTACTGTCTGACTCCTACAGAGTTTTGACTCCTCCCCTGCCTGCTTGGATTTTGACCAGCAGGAGGATAAAGAACAGCGCAATGAGTAGCACTAGTAGAGGTAACACTGCTTGTATTTCACAAGCCAAAAGCGCCAACAAGAAAGCAATATGATCATTTACATTTACAAATTTGAAATATAATAGTGTTGGTAGATTTCCACTTATTACTTTTGCTGGATCTGTGCTCTCACTTGATAATTACCCACTACTAACAATTGTAAGCAGTGCCAGACACCTGTTGATGCTGAAATTGATCATTAGAATCAATACAATTAACAAATTACTACAAGCTCCTTTAGGCATACATAACTTAGCAGTGTAGAAAACTATAGTAAGACCGGTCAAGTTATTTTGCCATAAGTAAATCACAGCAATATTATAATTTTGCAACAGTATGTTGAACTGTAATTGTGTGCGAAATTGCCTTTTCTCACAAGAGTCTACATTAAAAAGAACATTAAACTGGAAGTACCCACTTATAGTTGTTCATACTGCCACACCAGCAAAAGTATATCTTCTTGAGAGTCTCAAATAATTGGATGAAAAGTGGATGGTATTTCTCCACATCCCTTAATTCATTCTCTCTCACGTGCTCCAGTCCATCATAAAAATATATGGAGGAAATGTTAGCAACTTTACAGCCGTCCAGTTCATTTAAATGCACATCACCTGCAGTACCTGCATTTTGTTGCTCTCACTTCATGAGTTGAAGTAAAAAAAAATCACTTGCAGTTCACAAGTGGCTATGATGAGTTGAAAGCAGTAATTCACTGGCAAGTTCGCATACTTCTCACTGCCATACGGTCATGTTTAGACTATATGCAGTGAGCCTATAGATCTCTCTTTTCTTTGTGCATCTCTTGTGTGCAGTCTTTTTTAAGCAACACAACAATTTACACTAAAACAGACAGGATGGAGGATGACTCTGCCAGCTGATACAGATATTGTGCCTAATATGTTCTCTAAGGTAACACATTGTATTTAAAAACTATGTGTAAGAAACATGTTCACTAAATAAATGTGGGAATGAAGGACAGCAAGAAAACATTTGATCATAAAGAGATTTAATTTTTTATTACTGTTTTCTCTCTGGGTGGTTTTTTGATAGAGGAATGAACTTGATAACTAACTGATTTCTTCTCATGTTTCTTTTCGTTTGTGCTAATTTGTCTTCCTTCTCGTCTCTTTAAATTTTTTAAGGTTCCTGCTCTGTTTTTCTGACATAGTGAGATAAAGTGAATCCTGCCTCGTGTTGCTTATTAGAGATTTGAGTGATTGACTGGCGCCATGTCAGCCCGGCTCCCCTCTAGTATATCAGGATAGATGACATGTCTCTTCTTGACTAATTTAAACGGCCAGCTTATTTTTCGCTGTGTTCTTGGTGATTAGTGATAACACAACCAAAACCATTCCAGCCTCTTCCTCTGGAGGACACAAAGTGAAACATAAAAAAATAAACATGTCCTATATGCAATTGTGTGTCAATAAGAAGCTCGGTAGCACCATGAGCTTGTCAATACATAAGCACCTGAGGGGCTAAACAATCAGGGGAAAAGGAGAAGCAGAATAGCAGCAACTTGTTCGGACTATGGCTACACTTCCATAATGATGCAGTTTACATAGTTCCATGAAAGAGAATCCAGTAATTTCTGTAAGATTTTTATAAGACATTGTAAATTAGACCGTTGTGGCGTATTGAATCTAGGGCTATTTGACTTCCATGCCTTTGTCGTTTTCAGGTGGCCATTGGCATTTACTCAGCCCCATTACAGATGATTATTTTGACGGTATTGAGCATCATAACCATTAACTAAATAGCAGCCCTGTCATTGTTGTGACTTTTCAAAACTGGGTATTCCGATCTCATTGGCTCGATATTCTCAATTGTGCTGTAGGAAAAAACAAAACGCATATACCCTAAATTAGAGAAGGAAACAACTGAATGTTTTGATCTCACCTTCAGTAGGTACACTCTTGGTGAGTGATTGCTATGCATATTTATAGGAAGACTATCTAAAACTTAAATCCTCAATGAGCTGACACTTCAAAGAAAGAAGCAGGGAAAAAGCTAGAAAAGCCTTTTTTTGAACAGATTTGGTGGCAAGCAACAAAAATCTGTTTTTCTTTCATGTATCATTTAGCATATTTTTATATAATACACTCCTCAGTAGTATGCATCTTGTTTCAGCGTCAAGTCCTTAAAAAATCTCAAATTGCATGTTTTTCTTTTGTCAAAGGAAAATACCTGTATAATTTGATAGTGAATCAATTATTTACCTACAAATGACATTTTCAAAGCTGGTAATCAAAGATCACAGTGTGTCCAGTGAAGCATTACTTGATCCTATGCAGGCGGCGTTGCTTTGCTGTATGTATTGTTTGTGACCTTCCCGGTGGTGTTCTGGTGTGCAACGCTCTGTGAAGTAGAAGTGTTCCTCTTTAGTGTTCTTCAGTTTACAGAGCAGAGATTGCTCAGTGTTTTTCACTGAGGAACGAAGCTGCTCATGGAGAAAATGGTCCCGTTTTCAGACTGACATTTTGTCCCTCCACACACAGAGGCTGGACACACATCTGCATACACAGATGAGCAAATAGACTCGATATTACAAATAGATTGTGCAGAACTTGCCTGCAGAATTGCACTAATTACCCACATATGGCTCAATGTCTAATGTCATTATCAACAAACAATGTTATTTCACATTTTTTGAGCCTGTAAATACATATGCACATCCCTTCAAATATATTTACAATTAAGAGCTCCATGATCAACTCATCTGCCTATTGTTGACATGCACACAGTGTTTAGATAAAAATACCTTTAGAAGGTACATTTCATGAGTGGCATCCTGCAATGGCAGAAAATAGTTACACCCAAACATGTTGGCAGGTTATAAATTTCATTCACAAGCAGTTTGCAGTGAAGCTATACATAGTGCAGTGTAAGTCTTAAGACTGAGAATTTCAAAGGTCACATACTCTGCAGATGATTTGTTAAGAACAAAAGATTTACTAACTATAAAATATTCTTAAGTTTTTGCAAGCCTCCTTTATTGCCTCACACGTTTCTATTTTATTCACAGTTGAAAGCCTTTGTTGCTGCCTTGTGTATCTGTAGTAATTGTTGTTTTCCTCCTGATTGTATAATCGTTTGCTTTTGCAAATGGTGTCACTGACAGAGATTTATGTTTTTCATTTTGTTTTTCTCATCAATCTCGACTGGTAGCCAAATAGAACATCACAAGAATACAAAATCAGGTTTTTTAAAAACATAAAGACAATATGCTCAGTTTTTTTGGCTCTGAAATTTCCAGGCCCAAACCAAACTGTCTTTGTCCAATCACGTAAAAGAGCAAAGAAGCCTCAATATTTCATGAAGCTATAGTTCAAAGTTAAGTGCAGGACTTCTGATGAAATCTTTTATCTTAAAAATATCTTCTATTCATGGTTTTGATCTCTGGTAGCTTTTTTGACTTAATATCGAGGGCTTTCAGCATTTTGTATAAACCTTCCCTCACTGATGAAAGTGAGTCATATAACCTGCCTGTTAACATTCAGCTGGATGTAATTGTGCCAAAATGAGATGTGTGCAGTGTCTTCTAGTCAGAAATTACCTAATTTGAACTTAAGCTGCGATAGTCTGACAGCAACAACATACAGAGCAGGTGCTCAGAATAGTATAACAAAGTTTTCAAAAACATTTAATAAATTGCTGTATCGAAATATATGCTGTTATATTTAACAAACTAAGGTTATTAGTAATGGCAGGTAGTAAGTAAGTGATATTGACATTGTGACACATCCTGTTACTCAGAAGACCACAATGATCCAAAATGAAAAGCTAGATCAAAACATACATAAAATTACATAGGCATTTTGAGTACTTTAACAAAATAAATGCAATTTGACTACCTTAAAAAGCTTATTGCTTTTCCGATGATATCTCTGTCATTGTTGTGGAGTACAAGGTGTTTCAAAGGGAAAGGTATGTGGATAAGATGTGCTATAGAGTGAGGTGCTGTGGCCGGAAATTCCTGTTATTTGGCCTTCGGCCACCGTTCTTGTCCTGTCAGCTCAAATCTTATAGACCACTCCAAATGATGTGTCAGATCCTTGAGAATCCTTGTCCAGCTAGCAGCACTGATTAAGAATTGAACAAACATCAGCCACACAATTTGAGACATAGCTCAAAACGTTGGCAGTTTGGAATAAGAGTTTTAAAGATGAGGGATAGATTCAAGAAACAAACAAACTGGTGTGTAACATGTCTTCATTGTTTGTTTCTTATACTGCAATTTTTACATGATAACCATGATGTCTACGTACGGTCTTATTTAACATTGTACTTCTGCTCCTTCCTATGCTGTCATCGTCTTTGTCATCATCATCACCACCTCCATCTGTGTGATTACTAAAGTAAAGCAGATTGTTTACAAGTGTGACGATACATTGCAGCATTCAGTGGTGGAACATGCTTAGAGGGTCCTAATAGCATGCCAATGGCAGATAGAATGACAACTTTACTTATAGCTCACTCGCGTTATTATCCTGCTGTACAGTATTCATTGTTTAGTTACTTTGGTGATAGATTTATTTATAACGTGTTTGGCACCTTTGTCTCTCAGAGACATGCTCAGTTTTTCTGTTTTTTATGTCTTTTCCTCATTAATCTGATTTCTCTTTCTCTCTATTAGCTGGCGTCTTGGGACTCCACTCGTGGTTTGAATGGTAGCCTGAAGGAGAATCGGATAGAGAGCGGTATGCAGGGAGTGACGCTCAAGATTGTAACATTATTGGTAAGTTGTGGGAGTACACTGAATCATGACCATAATAATGTCAACACTTGACCTGAGTAGGAAAGTAAACACAGCAATATAAGGCAAACACGCCACACTGATGAGGTTGTTCTATACACCCACAGATTAAGCAACTAAAACAAACATAATTCTGTGAATTATCTTTTTAAGGGAAAAATTTATAAATAAATTTTGATCAATACTACTTTGCCTTGCTTTCTCAATGTTAATAACAATAAACCTTTCCTGCAGATGTTTCACAATAAAACAATTAGTTTGCATTAAAAGTATACAGCAGCAAGCACAGCAGACAGCAGAAAGGCTTCTTACAAAACATGGGAATTAACAATTAACTCTCTCATAATAGGCCCGTCTTAAAGAAAAGCCAATTTGTTACCTCAGTTCAGGTTAATAAGGCTCTGTTTCCTATTTCATAATTGACTGTAATATACTAAAGCTCTGGTCTTAAGATAAAGTCCTATGTTCTACTAGGTTGAGTGGCCTGTTACCACAGTAGGATGGAGAACCAACACAGGATTTTTTAGAACTAAACCTCTTTTAATCTACTTTCCACTGTTTGGTCATACGCGATTTCTCTCTTGGAAGAGGAAGAGCAACAGAAGGCCTACATTGCAGCAGCAACTAACTTCATCAATTCTAGCAGCTAAAGTCTCTTGCCTACTTCTCCCTTTCAGTCGCTTCTCCTCACCTCTCTTCGTTTTTCCTCTTCTTCACACATGATTTACCTGCACCATATTTATTATTAACATAAGTTCTGCTCAGCTCTCCCTTGGCAGTGTCACTTAATCAAGTCATTTTCCTCTGCCACTTTAATACCCCCCTCTTCTCTGTCTCTCTCCCCATGTCTTCTTTAGCTCTCTTTACTCCTCCCTCTTCCATTTAATTCTGCCCTGACACTTTCAACCCACAAAGAAGAACCACGGTGTGGTGCAATGAATTTAAAATGGCAATTTCCACGTTGATGAACCATAGCAGTTGCCATGGCGCCATGTGTTACAGGTCAACAGTTGCTGAGGAAACTATTTTATTAAGATGAAGTTTAACTTAGATCACCTTAGAAGCTCTTCATAAAAGGTGTCACCTCAAAGTTCTTAAGATGACTGAATGTGTCCTCGCCTCAGTCGCCGATCTGGCCCCGAGGACATTATGGCGCATCTTGATAAATGACATGTCTGTGATTAAGTACACATACTCAACTCTTTTCCAGAGTTCAAGGAAAAATTGTAGGCTTAGAGACAAAATCCGCACACATCCACATTTCTCAGCATTATCATTGTCAGTAATATCAAAAAACTTGTAAATTTATCTGGTTATTGATTCAAACAGGAAGAGCCTTTTGTGATGGTGGCAGAGAATATTCTGGGCCAACCCAAAAGATACAAGGGTTTTTCGATTGATGTCCTGGACGCCCTGGCCAAGATCCTGGGCTTCAAGTATGACATCTACCAAGTCGGAGATGGGAAGTACGGCTCAGCACTCCCTAATGGATCCTGGAATGGCATGATTGGAGAACTCATTGGCAAGGTTGGTGTGCTTTCCTTTTATCTCAGTCAATCAATCTCCAAATTTCACTCCAAATCATTTTTTTCTGGGAGTCAGGCCACATTGTCTTGTTTTGAAATGGGAGCCCAATTATAAGGCTCAGTAAAGTGGAAAAGATTAGAAAAACATTGTATGAGCCAATAGCCTCTATCTGCAAATCAGTTTTCTCCGGTGGGTGACATCACAGATTGATTGAACTGGGGCTGACTTTTGGAGGGACTCTGATAAAGTTTGAAAACTTAACAAAGGCTGTTATGGGTCGTAATGACGAACCATGTTTCCTGTTTCTGTTCATTTCACATGCACTCTCATCCTGCAATCTTTGTACTAGTGTTTATCAGAGGGAGCTCTGTGATTGAACGATGACAGAGTTGTTTAACACAACAATCCCAAAGTGATTACTTCCACTAATTCCAGCATGCATTCACTGTAGGTGACAGAAGAAACATGATTTTATACTTGATCAAACACAAGTTATGTTTCCTTGTTTCATGCATTGATGATTGATGACTATATTTTTCAACAAGCTAATACACTGTGGAAATAATACAAAATTAATTCCAAGATTAGCAATAAAACACTTGAGTTCAAACCTCCATGAAGGCCTACTGATCTCCCTGGTTATTAGCTTCAAAGTTAACAATGTTGTGGGTAGACGACAGAATAGTCGTATAAGGCAAGGGAATATCTAACAATGATGAAATATCATTGGTTCAGAAAATCAAAAGGTTTTTCTCCTGTTGAGAGCATGAAGGTTCACAGAGGGAGAAATAAATGCATTTTAAAATTGAAAATGTGGACTGATGGTGGTTCTTGACAAAAATGTATGTGTTACCAAACCAATAGGTTTATCTTATTGGGAATGAAAATTTGCACACCAAATATGCTTCTAATTTGACCATAACCTTCGTAGATTTGTCACAGAAACAGTGGCCTGATGGAGACACAGGGTTACCACAATAAAGGATGAGGAGGTTTCTGTTAGAAGTGTAAATGAACTGTGATGCAACCTTATTTGAACATTTTAAAATATTCCTCTAGGGAGTATTTGAAGTCAGACACAAGCTTTAATTTTGTCACAGACAAATCAACCAACCTAACCTACTAAATGGTGAGAAAACATCTACCAATTCATGGAGGTCTAGATTTTCTTTCAATGTCACAACAACATATAAAGATCTTAAACATATTCTGTTATTTTGAAAATAAATGTTTGAGGTGCTAAATTTGGAACATATGAATCTCCATCTCCATCCACAGCGAGCTGACTTGGCTATATCAGCCATCACCATCACACCGGAACGCGAGAGTGTGGTGGATTTCAGCAAGCGCTACCTGGACTATTCAGTGGGAATCCTGATGCGCAAGTCAGAGGAAAAGATCAACATTTTCTCTTTGCTGGCACCATTTGACCTGGCAGTGTGGGCGTGCATTGCCGCAGCCATCCCTGTTGTGGGAATCATGATTTTCCTGCTCAGGCGCATCCAGGCAGTGCGCTGCCAGAACAATGCAGGAGGCCATCCGATGCCTTCTGTCTCCACTTCACTACAGAGCGCCATCTGGATTGTCTACGGTGCTTTTGTGCAACAAGGTGGGTAAAATAGTTTGAGTCTGGCCTTCATAACATACAAGGAAAGCAGTTACAGATCATGTTCAATATATTTGTTATATACTGGACTACACTGGACGGCCAAGGCTAGACAGGTTTCCACTCCACCAAATCATACGCCAACCTCTTACTAGTTAACACTTCTCTGTTTGAAGGTGTGTCATTGATGAATGAATGAAAACCTGCCCACTCTTGGTCTCCAGCTGGACACCAAGCACTAGCTATGCACTTCTTAAATGTGAAAACCTAAATCTAAGCAGAACAAACGGGTAGAAAAAAAACACTGAAAACTACTAAGGGATTAAGGACAGAAGATGAAAATTAAGTCCAGTAAAAATGCATATGTGGATGTCAGTATAAAGCAAATGCTGATTCAGTAGTGAGTCAGTCTGAGGCACAACGCCCACCCTAGCATTTTCTAAAGGTGCCCTTGTCAAGGAGAACATCTCATGTTTAGGTCTGGTGGAGATCCAGGTATGTCCGGTTTGGATAAATGACTACTTCAGCAACTGATGTTAAAGCCTGAACTGCATCTATCAAAGTCTGGAACACAGCCTATGAGCATTTTTTAACCCAACACCCACTATATTTCAAGAGAAGCTAAATTCTATGTCTTTTTTTCTCTGGCTCGTGTTTCTTTTTTGGGCTTGTTTCAGTGAAGTGGATTGCATTATTTCTTGGCATGACGTAGGTCACTTTGATATAAATCTGACTGCTCATGCACAGTGTGCCATTGTCAGAGACAACAACTTGGCAACTGTATCCCACCAATGATTTCATAATGATATACCAAGGCTTGGCTGGATTTTGTTGTATGTTCAGTGCAGATTAAACTATCCACCCACAGACACACTGACTCTCCTGTCTTTTTCAAAAAGGGACTACCCTTCTTTTGTTCCATAAGGAGGTTAGGGGAGGTAGGAAATAATCTGAAACTTTCCCTGAGAACTTAGAAGAAAATTACGAGTTTTCCAGAGTTTAATAAAAAAACATTCGAAGTTGAAAGAGACTGCACCGCAGTGAACGGTTGCAATAGGGTAAAATCCAGTAAAGTTTCAAGATGCACATTTCACATTCAATGACCTTAAGAAATCAGCCAAAGCCATACGTAATAAAAATGACTGATGCCGGAGTGCTATGCATCTGACAAGGCCTTCAGTTTTTTTCCCCAAGCTGTCCTAAGGGCGCAGCTATGTTGATTGTGACACTTTCAGACAAATATGTTTTCATTACATTTCACACTCCTGAATCTTTCAGATGACATTTCTATGACTTTACTCTTCTACAGTGTGCTGACATTTTTCTCGTGCACCTCATAAGTTGTTATTTGGAGAGAAAGAGTCCGTATGAAAGTAAAGATAGAAAAGCTAATGTGACGAACCAGTCTTTTCCCCTCACAGAAAACAAGGGCCGAAACAAGGGACAAGGATTAAAGAAATAACGCAAAGAATGTTTAAAAGACAGGAAGTAGTTAATATTCATTCTGTGTGCTTTTAAAAAATGGATTGGGATGTATAATAGAATTGAAGAATTGTGCAAGTAACATTTCAGGGTAGATGGTTTACATACACTAAGCACTCGGAAAAAATAATTGACTGAAACTTCCAGTAATTACAAAAACTCTTGCATGCAAATATGTGTTTTATCTCAAGAGTGAGAAAAATTACAAGCAGCAGCTTTAACAAAATGGTGGGTAATAATCACTAGTTACCTCACCAATATGTTTACTAGTCCATTTCACATTTTAAGAACAACTGAACAAGAAGATAAAAAGCCATTATTTTCATGAATCTCTTATAATATAAAAACAAATTGAAACAATAAAATCGGGTCACAAGATCCTGATAATGTATGGCATTTTTTGTATGTATGTAGTATGTAGGAGATAGCTACATTAGATCCACTGTGGTAAGCAATGTGATGCTGTACAGTACATAGTAAAGAGAATGATGATGTCTGCTGCTGTGCGCAGTTTTTATACCTATGTGTTTATACCTGCACTCCCACAGGCAGTGACTCCATCCTGGGATCTGTGGCTCTGCGTATTGTCATGGGCAGCTGGTGGCTCTTCACCCTCATTGTGTGTTCATCCTACACAGCAAATCTGGCTGCCTACCTTACCGTGTCACGCATGGACAATGCCGTCCGGTAAGGCACAATACTTTCATTGAACATTTTCAACCTGTTAAAATGAACTTGATTATCTTCTCATAGAACCTCAACACAACAGGGGGATTCGACTATTCTGGTGGTATTTTCAAGGTCAAGGTAGCTTTATTGTCTGCCGCAAGAGAAACTTGTCTTAGAGTTAGACAACCGCTGCATCAGACTGATGTTACAATAAAAACACTCTGAATAGGCACACATAGCAATAAATTATCCTAGCTACAATAAAAACAACCAAGCAACTGAATTACACAAAAAGATAATTACCGTAAAAAAGAACCATAAAAAGTCCTGAAATAAAACCCAAGCAATTATCACTCAACAATTCCTAGAGACCTGTGGTTATCTTGATACCTCCCCCTGCTATTCTGACTGTCCTGCAGGAGCTGCCCATTAATACATTTAATTGATTTAGAATCTAAAATGTCAAAAGCACAGAAATTGATTTATTTCTTTATGTTAATTCATACTGTTTAAGATTTGAAGTAACAATTTGATACACATTATTTTCATGAGCTTCTAAATACTGAAAGTCCTGGTTCAAAGCTATTAAACCCACAGTGCGGAACTTCTGTCTCTCCTTCTGGCAGTGAGCGTGATTATACAAACACTGCCTACAGGTGAGCTCGCCCCATGCTAGTGTTCAGAAATATCGTGTTCAGAGACATCTCCACAGCCCCAAGACAATAATCTATTATTTATATTAAATGTAATAGCTACATAGCCTACTCCAAATATTTTACAAATACCAACCTGTCCAAGAGCAGTATCGCAACATCCTTGTCTGCCCTCATTCCCATCTCTCAGCACATCCGTGTTTGTTTTTGTGGGGGGGGTTTCTCTACTATAGTCCTTCCTTTGAACACAGAGTTTCTTTATCTGGCGCATCAGAAACTTTTCTTGGATACTTCTTAGGTTTTTCCGCCATATGCTCAGCCATACACTGTCGCTACGGTTGCTCCAGAGCCATATACAGAGAGAGTTGTGTAACCTCTGTTCAATTTAAATTCAAGTGGCTTTATAGGAATGACTGCATACACTTTAATCTTGTGATAGCATATTAACATAAACATAATAAAGTATAAACTGTTCTCAATAATTAACACTCTGGACCTTTTTTTTTTTTCAGCAATGGGGGATCAAGGAGCTCTCTACATGGCTCTGGGCTGACCCCCCCCCCAGCTCTGGCAAACCAATCATTGCAAACTCATCATTACCGCTGCACTAGTGCCAGAGTGTTGCCACAGACAAGAGATTAGAAAACTCCAGTATACTGCGAAACACAGGGAGATTTACCTGGCGGTGATAGGCTTAATCAGCATTATGTGAGCTTTTTGAAGCTTTGAGCTTTGAGAAAGAGATTGATTGAAATGAGATGGATTTGTTACTGTCGCAGCTTAGCAAATTTTGCCAGGTGTCGGAACCGAGTCAATCATTGGTGCAACCAAATCATTTTTCACATTCACACACTTCACTCTCATATGCATTGAACTGCTCTCAGTGTAGAGCGTACATGCCACTTTTTGTTCAAATGTAAATAAAAGATGAGTAATAATTTTTTCCACATTGATGCCTCTTGTACATCGTCTTGTCTTCTGGGAGACGCCTGTGTCATTTCTAATCAAGATACAACTTGCTGGTTGAATAACAGTAACTTTAAGTCAGAATTTGCCAGGGGTATGAATAATTTCGGGCTTGACTGTGTGTGTGTGTGTGTGTGTGTGTGTATGTATGTATGTATGTGTATATATATATGTTTTCAAATTTTCAAACAGTAACACTTTGAGTACACTGATTTAGCATTGCAAAGGAGCATTATATAAGCATTATATAACATGGTGTACTGTTAAAAAAAAGATCAAATTACATAAAATTGCTTTGACAAAGCATTTTCTTGTCAAAACCTGGTGTCTACGTTACCCACAATGCAAACCGCCCACCAACAGTTCAGTTTGAGATTCGGGTTTATGCTATTAGCAGCTAATGAAGCAGAGATGAGGATCAGCCTAAAGAGGTCTGGTAGGCTCACTGGTCTTTGTCCTTAACTGACACTAACTCATGTGACATCACTTGAGGCGATTCATCAGATTTCGTGCAAACGTTAAACAAGGAAAGCTCCCCAATACCTGTAAAAAGCTGTTTTTTCATTTATTACTGGGATGGGAGTTTGTCTAATTTCTCACCTTTTGTACTGTTATAGGTGGTAGGTAAAACCGAATATACAGACAGTAACACAAAATAGTAAGACATAACAAACAGAGGTTATTTGAATTTGATACCAATTGTTTTGTTGTTGTTTTGGTTAGTCGGAAAAAAACTATTTTTAAACATTTGATTTTTTTGTGTATTATGTATTCATTTATGCATAAGTTTTAGGTATGTGAGTGAACTAGATAGAGTAAAAATAATAATAAAATGCATTAATAATAATTACAATGATAAATATAAGTAAGTAAAAGATTTAAAAAGAAAGAAATGTGGTAAAAAGAAAATGCACATACGATATTGACATAATATTAATAACAGTACCCGTAAACAGACTTTGATGTATCAAATCGGTTGAGTGCCCCTTAAAAGCCTCAGCCTTGAATGAATGTGCATATCTCTTCTTCTTTTTTATATATTTTAACAGCGGGGGCAAGTGCTGTAGCTCAGGCTGAAGGTTCATCTGTGAGCATATCTCATCAGCTACAATTGGTACAGAGTGTTTGGTTCTGTCTGCCTGCCTGTAATTTTTGACCCGATGACTAACAACTAGCCTGTTCTCAGTCCAAATGCTATTTGTTAGTGAATCCAATTTGGTGTGCTGCCTCTCCCCAAAGAACAGACAGGTAGAGAGTCATTTGATTGCACTGGGTCTGTCTTCTATTGAACAAATAGCCACATGTGTACATGTGAGGAGATGGAGTGAATGCTAAGCGGCACCCAGCTGACCTATGACGAGACCTACACAGGTGTGTGTGCGTGTGTGTTTATGTTTGGATTGGCAATTAAGGGGCATTAATCTTTCTCGTAGTACATTTGGTACAGTTCAGGGAACAGAATCAACCTAACTGCAAATTATTGCATTTAGGAGTTGGAGGGTACGAGAAAGTCCACTGTGACCAAAATTTAAAATGGCTGTACATGTACAAAGCTGTACTTGTCCCTATATGCTGTTCTCAGTGGTAAATATTTTATAAAACTTGTAGCCTGTGTGGGATTCACCTCTTGGCTAATCTGAACAGATTTTAAGCAATAAAACCTGAAATGTACAGTCTGTTCATGAGAGATTTAGTGTTGTAGAGGTGATGCATTTTTAAGCTACTTATTTAAATACACTAAAAACACGCTTTTTGTTTGTAAGAGGAGAACCGTACAGGACTATAGCCCCATTCAATACAAAATGTATTTAATTTAATTGCCTATAACCTTCCTTATTGTGGGAAGAGCAGCAAATCATTGCAATTCCAAAGTATGTAAATTGTTGGGGGGGTTTTATCCAGTATTTCAAGCTAAGTTAGGAAAGATAATGGCCTTTCTTTTGTACTCCAATGCTTTCCTGACATGCATAAGACACTTCTTAAATTGCCCAGCATCAGGTCTTACTTAGCAGCCCTGCTTTCAAATTAACTCTGCTGCTCCACTTCCCAATTACATAATCTGTGTGAGTAAATACTCTGCTAAATGTAAAAGTTGCTGTGAACACATTTGTGCACAATCTGTTGTGACCCTGGATGTAAATTGCTAGTAGGCTTAGAAAATCTGCTCCCTAATAGCTAAATTAAGACATAATCCAAAAGAATTGTACATATTAAGGACAGGTTGATTAATATTCTGGAAGAATCAGATCATTTTTTCCCCTAAAAAAAAAAAAAACTACTAAATTTGTATGTCATGGGTCACATCTGACCAGCTGAGTGTGGAGAAGTGAGTGCTTCTTTTCATTACAGAGACAGAAAAAAATCGAGCCTGCAGAATGATAGTTCTTTGACCTATTTGAAAAACAGCTACTCTTCTGGTTCTCTACCTGCCCACTTGATGTTAGAAGATCCTTAAAGAGACGGTGGGTCCTACCATTCCCCACAATCAAAGTGGGTATCTGTCTGGCACACCAATTATTATTGGTTAACACTCTGGACCTTTTTTTTTGGTATTATTATTATTTTTAGTGTGAGAGCTGCTACAGCTCTCACACTTTTGTTCTCTTCGCTCTTTATTATTATTCTTATTTATTCCGCCGTTTTTTGGCATCTAACTAGTCCTGTACCGTTTGGGTGCTATTACCTGTGTTGCTGATATCTGTAATGGTTGATTTTATACACTGCTCAAAAAAATAAAGGGAACACTAAAATAACACATCCTAGATCGGAATGAATGAAAATAATCTCATTAAAGACTCCTTTCTTTACATAGTTGAATGTGCTGACAACAAAATCACACAAAAATTATCAATGGAAATCAAATTTATCAACCCATGGAGGTCTGGATTTGGAGTCTAACTCAAAATCAAAGTGGAAAACCACACTACAGGCCGATCCAACTTTGATGTAATGTCCTTAAAATAAGTCAAAATGAGGCTCAGTAGTGTGTGTGGCCTCCATGTGCCTGCATGACCTCCCTACAACGCCTGGGCATGCTCCTGATGAGGTGCCCAGACCTGGACTAAAGCATCCGCCAACTCCTGGACAGTCTGTGGTGCAACGTGGCGTTCGTGGATGGAGCAAAGACATGATGTCCCACATGTGCTCAATTGGATTCAGGTCTGGGGAACGGGTGGGCCAGTCCATAGCATCAATGCCTTCCTCTTGCAGGAACTGCTGACACACTCCAGCCACATGAGGTCTAGCATTGTCTTGCATTAGGAGGAACCCAGGGCCAACCGCACCAGGATATGGTCTCACAAGGGGTCTGAGGATCTCATCTCGGTACCCAATGGCAGTCAGGCTACCTCTGGCGAGCACATGGAGGGCTGTGCGGCCCCCCAAAGAAATGCCACCCCA